CAGCATTAAAGTAAAATACCACCCTGCACTGCTTCTTATGTGTATATACCATAGGCTGGATTTGCTTGGTGATTTATGTTGCCTCAATAATTTAGTTCTTACATTTCCAAAAATGACTTTTTGCAGCGTGGAGAAAAGGCAGCTCTCTGTTTCGTGTCAGCGGTGATGGTAAGTTTTTCCACACGAGAAAAAGCAAGAGAGCAGCAAGAACGATGCTGCCATTTCCACTGCCAAGTCATTCAAATCTCAAAATGAACCAAAAAAATTACAAATGTTTTTTGTTTTACGAATTCATATCATATAATTAAAAAGAGCTTTTGTTTAAAAAAAACAGTAAGAGGTTTAAGGTGGATTGAAGCCACCTTTTAGAAGTTTTCCTCTTCAGGCAAAAGGCCTAGTCTGTGTCCATGTTAACAGTACAACAACCATTTGTCAAAGCGCTCGTGTAAACCACATATTTAGAAATCGTACTCTATCCTTTGCATGTATATAAGAGCTAATGTTAATGTTGCAGACATCAAAGGTTGGCCACACGATGCATAAAGAAAGAACAGGCAGAAAACAGCTGATGAAGATGGAGAAAGCTTGAGCTCCTCTGTGCATCAAGAAACCCCAAAATAAGAGACGCAGTGAATCTGAGAAGATGCCATAATGCCGAACAAAGACTACATACTGTATGCAAAAATGTGACATGGACGAGAGAGTGTGTGTCTTGTGTGCTTGCATGGAGGAGATTGTCATTAAGAAGTGTATGTGTCAGGTAAGCTCTTATTTTAAGCTTTTAAAATTGGAAGGCTGGGAGCAGGTGCTGGAGATTCACTGGCAGAAAGAAAAGGTTACCCCGAGACCACCGAAAGAGAGGAGAGAGAAGAATAAAAATGGCACCCCGTTATTCTCTGCTCAGGGAAAAAATTAAGAAGCTGTTTCCAGGGTTATATCATGGTGGAAACATGGGGACAAATCCATAGAGCAGGATGTCCATCCAGTCAGGCCCACATTCACACACTCGCAATGAAGGCACGTACATGCGTGCGGGCAGAAAGCCTTGTTATAAATATAGAAATTCATGACAAGGACACACCATAAAACACACCAAAAATCCTTTTATAGGATACACACCTAACTGTGCCACAAGAACACACACACTGCCGTGGTGCACGCTCATGTGCAAAAACACAATGTAATCAGTGAAAATACACGTGAGAATAATTAGTCACACATTTGTCTGATTTCTTTCTGGACAAGCGCAAAAAACACAAAAGATGTGAAAGTGCACTAAACAAGCATACACATACATGCACTGTGCGCACAAACACACCTAAGCTTCCACTTTGGTTGGGAAACTTATGGGCATCTGCCAGCATGTTTCAAGTGCTTATTCTCTGGGGCCCCAACCTTTCTTTTTCAGCAGCAACACTGCAATTTGGGTGTGCCGTTGGGCCAGAGATAAGTATAGGCTGACTAATATGCACTTAGGACTCAGGGAGAAATACTTACGGCTAAATGTTTAATTTGTGTTTGTACAACACATGTCCAATTTGGGGGCTGGTGTCTTTTTCAAAGAGCCTGAAAACAAATAATTAGGACTCTCCAGATTGGCCACAGGCTTAAAATTGTAAAGAGACGGGTCTCCGATGAAGGTGACTGACATCCTCCAAAAAAACAACATATGGAAACGTTCAGATCTGCTACAGTGCGGTCAGATGTTAGATAGATGTTAAGCTCAATATGCAACTAAAACAACAGTAATGCCAAAGAGAGTTAACTTATAGTAGATTCTAAAAATCAAAATTGGGTCTCATCTGCAGCGAGTGTCTGATTGGTGCCGAAATTCTGACTCTATTCTGTCCCTCTTTTTTCTAACAGCTGTAAGATCTCTTAATCTTTCGCCCCTCCGACTGTGCCCTCTGTCTGCCACTAAAGAGTCTTTCTGAATCACACCACAGGAAAAAGGCCTCCCAGCATCCTAAAAAGAAGAAGAAGAAGAAGAAGACGTATATGTGGCACATCAAATTAATGCTGGATTTCTAAGTAAGCCCATTTTTCAACGCTTCACAGTGAGACAAATAAAAAGAAGTGAGCCCTGAAATTTTCAAACATTTCAGGATCCAGTAGGAAATAAATGTCATGTGATGATTTTTGAATCACAGCTAAAACAAGGAGCATGCCGATGAAGTGAACAGAGGAAGATGTAATCAGAAAATGTGACTGTCCACATCAAATGATGGTGTGGTGTAATTAAAATAAAACTAA